CCCCATCAAATAGATGCACATAGAGTTCAGGATAAAGCAGTTCGATATTCCTCAATAGTTCTATGTATTTACTTGGTTGTTTTAAAAAAATTATATCTATATAAATAAATATATTATAAAAATATAATTATGTAAAGAATAAGAAAGAAAGTGACTGAAATTTCTATCTTCCATTCTTCATCGGATAAATTGAAGGTGTTGGTTGATGGATCGTAGAAATTGCCCATTTTGTTTTTCAGTTTCGACCAAGCTGCGTATTTTTCCATAAGATAATCGTAGTGAWTTTTCATTTGTTGTTGGTCGACGATAATGTTATGTTTTCTTTTCAATTCTTCTCCAACATTCTTCCACGATTGTGACTTAAGACTACTACCTTCTCGTCCATTTTTAATTGTCTCGTGTATACAAGCTTCAAGAAATGTTTGGACCAACCATTCCTTTTTCCATGTAATCCTACATTTCTTTTGGTGCGAAGATTCACCAACTAATTCCATACCTAGTCCAAACAATTTTATAAAGTATAAAGTAACATAAAGTTTAGCAAACCAATAACAAACAATAAAAAAATTCTCTACAAGATGTGTCATGTGGGTAGGAAATAATATCAGTTTCTGCTTATTTTAGTTCAGAGGCTAATACAAAAGCAAAGGCAAAAACGTAGTTGCAGACCTTCAGTTGGCCARCAATAGTGGCTTASTAGTTCTCACATTRCAAGTGATTCTGAATTGGTTATATAAGATATTAAAGGTAGTTTTGTTGTCCACACAAAGGTTGATCAAGAAACCTATTCATAATGGGTGTCTCTTTAATCAATGCGYACAGCTTGAGCACAATCACACAAACTTCATAAGAAAATTTGGCATATTGGTGATCTTTCCATTTGTTGTACCTTATGAAATTAAGATAAATATTCCCCTTGATTATTATTGACAACTGGAAGGAGTATARATAMAAAAATACAACGTAATTATAGGAACTATACAAGGTAAATTACAACTAATTTGACTAATCAAATAAAACTAATTAAGGAGAGGATTTGTCTCCAATACCCCCCATCAAGTGCACGGGTGGCGGACGAACTCGTAACCGATCATGAAACATCTCAAAGAGCGGTCTTGGTAATGGCTTCGTGAATATGTCAGCTACCTGAAGCTTGGTAGGAACAAACTTCATATGCAGTTTACCAGACAACACGAGCTCACGAACAAAGTGATAATCAAGATCAATATGTTTAGCTCGTCGGTGTGCTACTGGATTTTGGCTAAGAAAAATGRCACTTAAATTATCACACAATAAAGTGGGACGTTCAGATGGCAATGCATTTAAGTCACACAATAAATGAGAAATCCAGATAAGTTCTCAGCGGTGTTGGCCATAGCCCGGTATTCTGACTCGCAGCTAGATCGGGAAACTGTTGGCTGCTTCTTTGCACTCCAAGACACTAGATTTCCACCAAAAAAGATTGAGTAACCGTACGTGGAACGTCTGGTTTCAATGCAGCGAGCCCAGTCGGCATCAGAGTAGCCAATRAGCATGGATCTCTTAGGACACGAGAATTGAAGTCCATGAGTAATGTATCAAGTCCTTAAGCTTTTTGATGCAAAGGACTTGATCTTCCTCTTGTTTGAGCATGGGGTCTACATGAGAGGTTCTTTCTCTGTATAAATGAGAGCTCTGTCTCTTGGTGACCTCTGCATTGGAGCTCTTGGTCCAAACAGCTTCTAAGACTAAGTCCTATTTGACTAGAGTAAGAGGCTTGTTACTTACACTTTTACAAATAGGGTTCTAACAATATCCCCCTAAGTGTAAATAAACAAGGCTCTTACTTGAATGAACAAACTAGTCTAAAAGAAGCAAGAGACCAATGTGGTCCTCTATATGTACATTGACCATCAAAATTATTAGAAGTATTGGAAATATAAATCACATAGATAAGAGAACTTGAAAAATGGTACTTACAAAATGAGAGGCCTAGAGATGTTGAAGTTCATGAACCTCCTAAGAAGTTCATGAAATTGAAGTACAATTTCGATAGATCTAATAAATGTGTTGGCTCTCTCTTTTGCACCAGGGGTTGTATCTGCTTCTAAGGATGTTGTTCTTGATGAACCGTATAGTTGAATTGGAATACTTGAAGCGCCGCTCTTCACGAAAGAACACCTTCTTTCCATGCTCATTTCTGTAGACCACCCCTAGCTTTGGCTCTACTATAACCATCCAGGAGGGGACGTACTTGATGCCTTCGAGTTTTTTGTTTGGTGCTGTGACACCAAGTTGGTCGACCCCATGTCCAGAGCTATTTGAATGTTTAGCTTGCACCGACAGTCAAGTAAGTCAGTCATCGTCTGTCTGATCGCAGAGTTAGCAAGAGCATACTTCATCACTTTATCCTTCTTATGATCCGTGAAGAAGTACAAGGTAAAAATATCCCAAGGGTTGAGATTTATTAGATCATAGTCTGTAAAGAYGCTGATATGCCCCGGTACCACTTCCTTAAAGATCATGTAGAAAAGGGAACAATATAGATGTACTTTGTTCATACAGAGATTCAACTTGCTGACATTTTCACAAAAGCCCTTGATGAAAAAAGATTTTTATTTTCTTGTCAGGAAGATGGGTATGCTGAATCTCACCACTTAGAGGCAATCCATCTTTTAAAACTAGATTTCCTCAATATCTTTGGTTATGCCTAAAAGTGATACATTAACATGGCCCTAATAACCAAGTACTATAAACTAGAGCCTCTAGTTCTAAAGACCAGAGCCTCTGGTTCTAAAGACCAGAGCCTCTGGCCAATTAGAAATACTTGTTTATTTTTTTGGCCAAAATTTTCATCACATTTGGATCCAGAGCCCCTCTGGTCCAAAGCAAATACTTTMTGTTTTTTCCCTAAGTATCCCCTTCCCAACCGGARCCTCTGGTTCTATAGACCAGAGCCTCTAGATTCCTATCCTTTGAGACCAGAGCCCCTCTGGTCCCAAACTTGGTCTCTCTTATTCATTCTCATACATTACACTTAGTCATATTTCATCCATCATGCAACCAGAGCCCCTGGTTCTAAAGACCAGAGCTTCTAGTTTCCATGTCCTTTGAGACCAGAGCCCCTCTGGTCCAACTTGGTCATCGCAAAGCATCTTATCATTGCATTTTTCATCATTTTTGCATCATCCATTCAACTAGAGCCTCTGGTTCTAAAGACCAGAGCCTCTGGATTCCAAGTCTTTGGAACGAGAGACCCTCTGATCCCAAAGACCCATCATTTCCATCAACTTAACTTTCATTCATACATTTTTGCCCCATCTTTCACAACTAGAGCCTCTGGTTGTATAGACCAGAGCTTCTGGTCATTTCATTCACCCTTCTTATTGATTCTAGGGGGAGTTTCTTTACTCATTGCACAACCCTATGCATCATTTGAGGGGGAGTTTTGAACTTTACATTCATCATTAAGCATCCATATTGAGCCAAACCTATCTCTGTTTGTACATCCCCATTCAACCAGAGACCCTCTGGTTCAAATCCTTGGTTCTTCCAAATATGCATTTTCCCACCCAGAGCCTCTGGTTTGTCTATCCAGAGCCTCTGGACACAAAAATGCTATATTAATAATGTTTCATCCCTTGCATTCAACCAGAGACCCTCTGGTCCTTCATGAAGGATATGTTTTTACATCTAAGGGATTCCAATGATCAACCAGAGCCTCTGGTTTGTATATCCAGAGTCTCTGTTTCATAAAACCCAACATTCAATGATGAAGTAATACATCATTCATAACCAAAGAGCCTCTGGTTCCCCCCAATCATTGTCATGACCAACCAGAGCCCCTCTGGTTCAATTGACAACTTGTTTTGCAAATCAAAACCCATCTTTTATTGAAAACTTCTTTATTACAATAAAGTGGGAATTTTTAATTATAAATATTATTTAAATCATTATTCTTAAGGTTTTATCCTTTTAGAGTAATCATTTGAAATATTTTCAAATATCCTAAAAGTCGTTTACCGCCTACACGCGCCTGACAATTTCAAAAAGGATGTTCCCCAAAAACCCTTCATTTCTCAAACGACACCACCCCCATCTGACACGTGTCCATCTTCATTTTTTGATCGTGAGCAGGTTTATGGCTCACGATCACCATCACAATCACCTTTTTCACCAAACGTCTCTTACACCCATCATTACCACTCTTCTCACTTTTAAAATATTATTTTGAAAACCCCACCCCTTCCAATTCCCCACCTATTTAAACCCGTCGTTCCCACTAATTAATCTTTTATGCTCACATATTCTCTCAAAAACTTAAGAACTCAGACGACCTGCAACTACCTTCTCACAAAAATGGTGTCCTTCGCCTACCACGAATCCCACAACAACAATGAAAGTCACGTGCAGTCGACCGGGGCCGACAGCCATGCCATCATCTTCCTGCCAATCAAGACGAACAACTACTCTATTGATCTCCGCAACAACCTTTACGAAGACAGGTCTGCCAATATAATAGAATTCTTCCAAAACTGTATTCTACAACCGGCCCTAACCATCTCCGACAGCGGGGTTTCGGTCAAATATGTCCAGCAGTACTGGCAGACCTGCGAGTTCTACCCGGAGAACCGCAGGATCATGGGGGACATTGACGTCCCAAACGACTTGGCATGCTCCATGAAGATTTCCCACGCAAAAATCTCGAAGGTCTTGTTCATTCCAACAAGACAGGAACACGGGATTGACCAATACGCCGAGCCGCAACCGTGACCTCCGCAATGCCTCCGACTTCAAGAGGCAATTCCTGCCTCCAATGTGGAACATGTTTTTCTTGATCCTCAACCGAGCCCTAACTTCCAAGCTCGAAAACATGGATCAAGGAAACATAAATATTATGACCATCATGTATGGTCTGTTTTTTAACCTCCCTCTGGACTACGCTCTGCTGATATACAATGAAATCCTTTCCACGGTCATCAAGAAGAACAAGCTCGTAGCCGCAGGAAAGCAACTCTCATCGGTGCTCTTCCTGTGTTTCCTTGCCTTATTCATAAGGGACGCGATGAAGAGGCACAACTTGCCAAGTGAGGAGCCCTTCACTCCTCAATACCATATGAACGAACATCTTCCAACCATCTCGAAAGATGGTTATCCTGCTGAAAGACCCCTTTCAAGGGCAATGCTCAGAGTCATCCCAGAGACATCCCATAGACATCTGCATGCCGTAGGGCATATGAAAGCTCCATGCTGGCCAACAACAGAGGCCAGCTACCCTGRAGCATATAGAGCCGTCCCCCATTCCAAGCRAGGGAAAGCAAGAGGAGTCGTCTTTATCGAATGACGAAGATGATGATGATGACACTCCTCCAACATCCCATGGCTCCATACATACAACTATCCCATCCCCCTACCAAGGGCAACCACATCTACTACCCCTGGCGATCAAGGCCAAAGGGGTATTGAACAAGGATGGCCCAGTCCAATCCCAACCCCAGCCAGCCATCCAGAGGCCACTCTTCGGGTCTCTGGAGATGATTTAGCCGAGGAACCACACCACCCATCACCTCTTTCCCAATAGGGGCTGATGAAGAAATAAGAGCTACATCGCCTCATAGCTCGCAAATACCCACACACACAAAAGCCTGTGTTGCTTCTGACTTTGATATTCCCATAGATCGTTCAGAGCGATCTTCTGTTCCTGCACCTCCCCTTTCGAAACTTGATCTAGCGAAGGGGAAACACATCTACTTCCCTTCAGCGGACTCTGAATCCGATGAAGAAGAATTTGAAGTCGCAACATCAAGAGATAGCTCCTCTCTTGAGGGATATCGAGGACATGATGGAAATCCTTCATTGCCTACCTTCACATAAGGCAATGTTGAAGGCACCTCTGGAACTGAGGCACAACCTACAACATCCGTTGTTGTAAAGGTTACTCTCATAGCTGAGTTGGTCACAAAGGCCAAGTTCCAGGCCTTTGCTGACTCGATTCAGCGGTCCATGGATGACCTTAAACTCAGCTTAGCAGGGATTGTTGAATCCCCTCCATCGATCGACCTTACATCGATTCAACAATCCCTTGCATCCTTCGAGGCTCACAAGAGGGACAAAACCACACACCTACAGATTCTCCAGCAATTAGGGGAACAACACCACAATGCCATATCCATCCTCTTCACCGCCCGCAACCAAAACATCATCGCCACCCTCGTAACCCTCACGGCCCAGGCAATTGCAACCGATGAAGCCATCGCCTCCATCACCTCATAAATAAATACCATAAACACCACCTTCACCACACTCCTAGCCACCATAATTGCCCAACTTCCACAAACAGCCCCCACCACCCCTCTCTGTAGCTCCATCATTCATTGAAGCCTTTACCTCTTTTGCTGCAGAGGTGAGGAACATGATATCCTCCTTCACCATCCCACCACCCGCCTCTATCTCAACCTCCATCCCTCCCTCCGCCTTAACATCCACCACCCGAACAAACATAGCCACCAGAGCCGATATGAGAGCACTCTCAAAGGCACTTATCTCCTCGTTCAACGAGATAAGTGAAAAGTTCACGCACATGGCTATAGAACCGACCAAGGTTTCTCCAAGAGCCTTGACATCCAGCAGGCATGCACCAACTCATTCCTCCTATTGATGGAGGAGACTCGAAGAAGGAAGGGATGACCAAGAAGAGGAGTAGAGCCTTCTTCTCAACTAGCCGCCCCATAAAAGGGCCAAGGCATGAGGATCCTATGATCATGGTCTAGGTCATCATGATGGGGAGAACCAGGCACAACCAAATGATGGAAACTGCTGCACCTCCACCTCCATGAACTCAAAGCCAACAAACCCAAACCTCCCAAGGAACCCAAGCTAGGGAACCAGATGCTCAACCCTCTGAAGATGTACATAATGTACATGTTCCCATAGCTAGCACCAAAGAACCCACACCCTTAACGAATGAGTTCTCACCAATCGTGGTTAGTTCTTCATCGTCTGAAAACCCACCTTCTCCCCAGCCAGAAATAAACCAACCCTTTACTCCATCACCAACACCTCCTCATATAGAACCTTTCATCGCCATACCCATTCAACCAGAACCTGTCATAACCCAACCCACCTTACCTCAACAACAGCCAACCCAACCAGAGCCCATAGAACCAGAAATACCTCAACCAGAGCCAACCCAACCTGAACCCTCACAACCAGAAGCCATAACATCCCCTCAACCCATAACCCATACACAACTCATAACCCATACAGGACCCACAACCCAAACACAATCTATCACCTAACATCAACCACCCATCACCCAACCATCACAGGTGCAAGCGGACATTCCTTCCTCATCAAGGAAACCTCCTCCTCAAGGCATGGTCGATGAGATTATTGCTAACTTCGAGTCACTGAGGAGACATCCAGAGATGCCGCCAAGGGTACCAGTATTGATGGAGAATATCCATCAGTACCTCTACCATGACCGTGATGAAAATTTGGTCCTCAATCCTCCCATGCTATCTCCTGAGTTGATGGATCTCTTGCGCCACGGATTCGTAAGAAAGACGGCCTCTCCACCACAAGCTGTCTTCTTGAACAATGGAATCAAGACAATCCTAGACATCAAAATGAGAACCTTCACTAATCAAGCAATCAAATACATCAAGTACACTGTGGAAAGCACACATGGGATGGTCAGCATCTTCAATGACAATGACTTGATCAATCTCAACCCATGGGACTTGATTGACCTCTATGGACACACAGCTCAGCGATAAGACCAAGGGATCAGATATGGGATGGCAAATCGAGCGATAGTAGAGACAATGGAAACCTTGGCGAAGTTTAGGGCAAAGAGCACTTTCAAATCGCTCTTGAACTTGGCATCGAAAGACTCTCCTACACTCCTCCAGACGAAGACTTCCCAGGCCTACAGGAGAAGAGATCTGCTTCAGTCTTGACTCAACCAGAGCTTGGATTGGTATTTAAGAATGAGTTTGGTGGTAAGAAATTCTTCTAACTGACTGAGGCCTTCAAGTACTCAACCACTACACTTGAATGGTTTCAGAATGTCATCATAGAGAGACTGGGCATACCACATGTGCCGATGAGAGAAGGTCAACAACTAATTGATGAGATCTCCACAGTCATTCGATTCAGAGGACTGATGATGCGTTTCTTGAAGATATCTAGAGGAGACCATGAATGAAGTATTTTTGTAATGTAATTTCACTTTCATTCCATCACTTTTGTAAGAATTCATCCAACACCTAGTCCAATGAATTTTTTTGGCAAAGGATATTTTTCTTTTAGTTTAACCTCTGTCTTTCACTTATTCTTTGATTGTTCATAGATTAGCCAATGTTTGTCTTTTCATTACTTAGGGGGAGATTGTTAGACCCCATAACTCATATTTGTAAAAGTAATGAAAAACAACAAGTGTGGAAGAGCAGGAGGCCGATGGAAGACTTTCAGGCAAAAAGACTAAGTGTCCAATACAACCAGAAGGCCGATAAACGTCCAGAGGTGCGATGAACTGCACATCTCCATAACCCCTCTGGTTACCAACACTTGAAGTCTTCCACGACAGTTCAACCAGAGGCACCCGATGAAGAAGATCTCAAGACATGGTTGAACAATGCCCCATAGAAGACAACTGGAGATGACAAATCGATAGCTGGATTCTCCAAAGATTTACTTTGCTTTATTTACTTTTCATATGTCTAGATAGCTTTCCTTTCCATAAGAGATTTGCTAAATATCTTCCATAGATAGCAATCTCCTTAATTAGCTTTCTAGTAAATAGGCTTTACGTTTCATGTAATCCTTTA